GGCCGGGGGGCGGGGTCAGGGCTGGGGTTGGGGCGTGGCCTGGCGGGGTCAGGGGTCAGGGTCCGGGCTAGGGTTGGGCGTGGTCTGGCTGGGGCCGGGGCGGCAAGGTCAGGGCTAGGGTTGGGGCGTGGCTTGGCTAGGGCATGGGGGCGGGTCTGAGTTGGGGCGTGGCGCCACGCCGGGCTGGGGTGAGGTCTGGGATGGGGCAGTGTGTTGGTTCTGGGTGAGGGGCGTGGTGGGGGGGGTGGGCTGGGAGCATGGGCGGAATCCCCTGGTTTGGAGGCGGTGCGGCAAGGGCAAAGAAAGCTGCGAGGCTGCGGGCTGGGTGGTACAGGGGCCCTGGGGCAGGGTCCAGCGGGCTAGGTAGGCTGGCGTGGAGCCTTGGGGTACGCAGGAGGTGGTTGGCCCGTGGGACGTTCTTGGGGGTTGGAGGGTGGGGGTGCGGCTCCCGAGCGTCTGGCACAGTTCTCCCTCCCCAGGGGCAGAGGCCGCGTGGGCAGCTTCCGAGAGGATCGGAGTCATCTTGGCCAAGAGGGCTGGTCCCCATGCCCTGGGCCCTGTGCTGAGTGGGGTCGTGCGTGCCTGTGGACTGGGGCGCGGGGGCACGTCGCCTCCCCTCGGGGTCACACCCTTTCGAGCACAGCTGCCCTGCTCTCAACCGCAGGGGGCAGACGGGAGCTCTCCTCTGACTGGATGGCTTGGCTTGGGTTTTTTTTTTTTTTACTGTATTCTTTTTATAGGTAACTTATAGCAAATGGAACTAGTTTTTTGTGTCACCTTAGATATAGGGTAGAATATAATTTATTTAAGTGAAAAAGAAAGCCGATTTACAGGGAAGGAACCAAACAGGAGTCTGCTGTTCAGGTTTGGTCAAACCGCAGGTGGCACGCAGCTGGGGACTGTGTCCAGCACAGGCCCGGGGTGTGGTGGGGGTCCTGGGGGTGTGGGGCGCTTGCACTATTTGCCATCTTGTCCCCCACTCTGGCTTGTGGGGCCTCACTCTGTATGCCCTGCTGCCCCAGGCCAAGCTGAAGTCCTTCTCAGCCAAGATTGTGCAGCTCCTGAAGGAGTGGACGGAGGCCTTCCCCTATGATTTCCAGGATGAGAAGGCCATGGCCGAGCTGAAAGCTATCACACACCGTGTCACCCAGTGCGACGAGGTGAGTGCCCCCTGGGCCCTGGCCATGGTCCTTGGGTGTGTGCAGGGGTCTGCCCTCGGGAAGGTGGGGGCTCTGTATGTGGTCCCCATTCATGTTACTCCCTCAGGAGGGTTGCTGGGTGGCCCCATTCAACCTCCCTTCCCCAAGATGACAGCTTAGCTGGCCAGCAGTGGACCAGGGTCACCCATGATACTGCATGCAGGGACCTTGTGGCCTGGTTTCAGGCCTGGTGATCATTGCCTTGACCCTCTCCTGGCCCTTCCTGTCCTTGTCCCTGGAGTGGGAACCTATTGAGAGTTTGTAAGGCGCTCCCTGTCCTGGATTAGTGAGGAGGAGGTGGGGATAAGGCTTTAAATTGGCCTCCCATTTTTCAAATGTCCTTACCCTTGCCTTTGGTGGAGAGGGAACTGGAGATGTTGGGGCCAACTGGGCCTCCAGAGTGCAAGCATTCCTTGTGCATTCGTTGTGCTTAGCAGCTCCTGTTCACCTAGAGTGCTCCAGGAGGAGCCAGAGACCCCAGGACACCCCCTACCAGGGGGTGGAGGCACCTGGCTTTGGCAGAAGCCTTTCCCATGCCTGAACTGTTCTTTGGGCCCCTCCTGCTACAGGAAGCAGCTCAGTGGGCTGCCTCTAAAAAAGTCAGAGAAGAGCTTTTTAGTCAAGAGCTTTTTAGACCCAGAAGCTCAGCCCTTAGCCTGTCTCTGCCCTTAGCCTTGTCCTGCAGCAGGACAGCCCACTGAGACCCCCTCACCCAGCAGTCCCCAGAGGAGCCCACACTGTGCCCCACTTTGTCCTTGAAGGCCTGAAGGCTCAGGCTTAGATAGGGGCTGTAGGCTCATGTTGGTCAAGCACGTTCCTGGAAACAAGATAGTGGTGGTGGCCTTGCTGCCAGCCCATGCTGGCACCCTTATTGCCCTCGACCCCACAGGAGAATGGCACAGTGAAGAAGGCCATTGCCCAGATGACCCAGAGCCTGCTGCTGTCCCTGGCTGCCCGGAGCCAGCTCCAGGAACTGCGAGAGAAGCTCCGGCCATCGGCTGTAGACAAGGGGCCCATCCTCAAGACCAAGCCACCTGCTGCCCAGAAGGACATCCTGGGTGTGTGCTGTGACCCCCTGGTGCTGGCCCAGCAGCTGACTCACATTGAGCTGGTTAGTGCTGCCTCGTGCCCTACCTGGGGGGTGGGGGCTGAGGGACCACAATGCCTCTTTCAGCACAGCGCTGCAGGTCCCTGCTAGTCACACTGAGCCATCGGAAGCCCGCTTGCCAGCCCTGACCACTATGCTTCATGCCGGGTGTGTGTCTGTCTGAGTGGCAAGCACCTCTGTGCCTGGCACTCACGTCCTCAAGAGCACAGCAGTGCTGTGTGAATGGGAGGAGCTGGGGCAGTGTCATCCTGCAGTAGGGACCACAGTGGCCCCAGGATGGAGGACTGACCTGGGAAGAGGTGAAGGGCCTGTATCCTGGGCAGGCCCTCCTGTCCCTGTCCCCACTTCTATGCAGCACTGTCCGTTCTCCTCCAGGGGAGGCTTGTCACCTTCCCTTTGCTGTCTCCCACCCCAGGACAGGGTCAGCAGCATTCACCCTGAGGACTTGATGCAGATTGTCAGCCACATGGACTCCTTGGACAACCACAGGGTGAGTGGACCAAGGCCTGCAGCACACTCCAGCGCCCCTGCCAGCCCTGTTTCCCAGGCACCTGCGCTCCATGCAGGGTGGGTATGGGCCTCACTCAGTATGCCCTGAGCGCCTCCGGAGTGCTGGGCCGTGAGCCCCGATGGACATGGCACTGGCCCTCCTGGCACCTGCTCCAAGAGGCCTTAGATGGCCATGCTGGTGCTGGGAGAGGGCACAGACTCTGGCTGGGGAGCCAGTCTGGCCTGCCAGCCCTGCACTGGTCAGCGAGGAGCCGGCAGGCATGACCAGCACTGCTGCAGGGCAGGCCAAGCCATGGCTGGGGACCAGGGCCAGCTGTGGGGACTGAGTTTTCCAGTCAGGGTCCTCTAGGCCCCCTATGACCTGCTGTGTCTTTCCCAGTGCCGAGGGGACCTGACCAAGACCTATAGCCTGGAGGCCTACGACAACTGGTTCAACTGCCTGAGCATGCTGGTGGCCACTGAAGTGTGCCGGGTAAGTGCCCATAGCAGACATGGCGGGGTGGCTGCCACGCCCACACCCAGTGAGGCCCTGATCCTGCCCCAGAAGTTAGGTGATGGAATTTTAAGAGTAAAAGCACAAAGTCCCTGTTGCATTGGCAGGGCCTTAGTGGTCCCCCAACCCTGACATACAGTGATTCTTTCAATGACAACAGACACCCCGTCCATGGAGTGTTCCCCCTGTGCCCAGCACCATTTTTCTCACCCATGGGGAGCTTTGCTGGCCCGCACAGCCCCCTGGGGCAGACGGTACCCTCCCTTTGATGGCTGAGGAGCCTGAGTATAGGCCGGGCACGTGTCTGGGCCTCCTAGATGCAGCTGTGGACCTGGACCAGCCCATGGTGGCTGGAAGCTAAGTCCCAAGGTCCTCCCTGCCCCTCCGTTCCTCTGCCTGGTGGCCCCAGCTCCTGCTCTCCACTGGCATTGCCATGCTGAGGTCACCTGCCACCTTCCAGGTGGTGAAGAAGAAGCACCGGACCCGGATGTTGGAGTTCTTCATTGATGTGGCTCGGGAGTGCTTCAACATCGGGAACTTCAACTCCATGATGGCCATCATCTGTGAGTGACTAGGCACCCAGGGCAGGGCTGTTGCATGGCCTGCCTCCTGGCCCTGACCCTACCCGCTGTTCTCTGCAGCTGGCATGAACCTCAGTCCTGTGGCGAGGCTGAAGAAAACCTGGTCCAAGGTCAAGACAGCCAAGTTTGATGTCTTGGAGGTAGTCACCTGAGCCCCTGTCACAGCTGCGAGCTGCACCCACCTCATCCTGCAAGAGGCTGAAGGGGGCCCTGACAGTGGGGGTGGGGGCTGCCCTCCTCTCCCTGGGGCCAGCACCTACAGTGCTGGCTGAGCTGGCCTGGTGTGTCCATCCTCCAGCAGCAGGGACTTAAGGCATCCTCCATTACTTCAGGCAGAACTGGCATTGTGTAAGGCGAGTTTTAGAGTGGAGAGTGGTTAAGCAAGAGTTTGACAAGAGTGGGGTTGATTTGGAAAACAACACCTTTTCCTTGGTCAGTGTCTGGTCTCTGGGTCCTGGCTGGTCTAGATGGCCCAGAAGCTGGCAGATAGGGTTACCTGCAGCCTTCCTCAGATGTGTGTGATCACAGAGTCAATTTTTGCAAAGCATGTGTCTTGTGGAGCTAGTCAGTTCTAAGAGGTGTAGATCTAAGTAGAGGAGCAAAGGGAAGTCTTGAAGGAAGAAGGGCGAGGGTCAGGCCTGGCAGGCAGGGCAGCGACACTTCTTCATGGCTTTCCAGAGGACGCCAGGAACTGAACTCAGAAGCCCTGGCTGCAGGGCTTAGCCAGGTGGGCGTCCTCTCCCCCGCGCTAACACCGGGGCTGCCCAGGGGCCAGGTGCCTTTCCTGTCCACTGCCTTCTGCCCTGCAGATGGGTGTCCTGAGCAGGTCGGAGGGGCATGGGGCTGCAATGCTTACCAGGTCCTGCCTGTGCCCACAGCATCACATGGACCCGTCCAGCAACTTCTGCAACTACCGCACAGCCCTGCAGGGGGCCACGCAGAGGTCCCAGATGGCCAACAGCAGCCGTGAGAAGATCGTCATCCCTGTGTTCAACCTCTTCGTTAAGGACATCTACTTCCTGCACAAAATCCACACCAACCACCTGCCCAATGGGCACATTAACTTTAAGGTGAGCTTAGCTCCATGGGGTCCCAGCACAGGGCAGGGGAAGCAGAAACTGAGCTACTGGAGCTGCCAGGCTGTGGCCTTTGGTCAAGGTCTGTGGATTTCCTGAGCCCTGCCTGAGGTTCACAAGGGCCTTCAAGACTGAAAGCCTCAGGTGGATTGGGGGTGTTATTTTACTGCAAGGTGTGAAGTGAGCCCCCCTGTACTTTTGGGTGGATGGCCTGGTTGCAGAGCTTGGAGTCACAGGGAATTGTATTTATCCAGGACTGTGGTTCCAGCCTGGACCCACCAGTGAGACAGTCCTGTACACCCCTGTGGGATGAGGGGTCAGGAGTGCTTTAGGCAGGAAGGGACTTTAGCAGGGAGGAGGCGGCAGAGAATCCCAGATGGAAGTGAAGAGCCTGCCTGGTGGGCCTGAGGGCACCTAGTGAGGACGGGAGGGCAGGACATAGGTGGCAGGGCAGGTTTAGGGGGCTCTGGGCTGCCAGATGCCCACCTCACACAGGTGAGGGGTGGGCAGGAGCTGGGATCCCTCTGAAGGTCCCAGAGAAGGGACATCACGACACATTCTGGCAGGCGCTGCTGAGCTGGGTGTGGATGGGTTGCCTGCACTGATGACACCAGACTGAGCCTCAGGCTGAAGTCATCAGTGGGGCCCTCTTTTGGTCCCCACACATAGAGGCACAGACCCTGCTGCTGGCCTGATGGCCCAGGTGGAGGGCTGGACAGAGTGGCCTTGGAGGACACCCCCGGCTCTGAGGCTGCACGATGTGCCACCATGGCCACGGACTCAGCCAGCAGGACCACTGTCCCATCTCGCTGGGACCAGTGAAATGAGCAGGAGACAGAGGCCACAACCTGTGTCCCCTGCCCTGACTGAGGGTTTGGAGCTTAAAGTAACAGATGAACATCAGATGGTTTTGTTCCTTCAGAAATTTTGGGAGATATCCAGACAGATCCATGAGTTTATGACATGGACACAGGTAGAGTGTCCCTTCGAGAAGGACAAGAAGATTCAGAGTTATCTGCTCACGGCACCCATCTACAGCGAGGAAGGTGAGGGCTGCCTCCCAATGCAGCATGCCTTCCTCCCCACCTGACTCACTGTCCAGGCCCTGTGCCCTTTGAGGTTGCCCTGGGAGGTGGCTTGCTGGCTGCTCCATGCCACACAGGGCTGCCTCTGCTAGCAGGGATGAGTGCGCATGAGGGTGGGTCGTGGCATGGACAGAGGGTAAGGACAAGAGGTGTAGTTTCCAGTGGCCATTGGAGAGGGTGACATGGGGTTAGGGCAGGTGCTGCAACATGAGGAACCTTCCTAGAGTTCCCAACAGGCAGCCTGAGAGCCTGCACAGCAAACTGTCAGAGCCCAGCCAGAGGTCACTGTCCCCTTGTTCTGGGCTGCACCCCTGAAGGGACAGCTGGGTGCAGGCAGACACTGCATGGGGACACAGGCTCTGAGGGACTTTCTTGTTTCTCAGCTCTCTTCGTTGCCTCCTTTGAAAGTGAGGGTCCCGAGAACCACATGGAAAAGGACAGCTGGAAGACCCTCAGGTAGGATGCACCAGGGACACAGGAGTCTGTGAGGAAGAGGGAGGACTCAGCATGGGCATGAGGGTCACCCTCCTAGAAAGCGGGCCTGGGCACTATTGCGTCCCTGGTGCAGGGCTGCCGGGCATGCTTGGTGGGAGGCTGAGGATGGTTTGGACTCAGACCGCTGTGCTCCGGCCGCCGTGCTGCCTGTCCTGTCCCCTTCTAGGACCACCCTCCTCAACAGAGCCTGAGGCGGATGCAGCCTGCGACGCCAGAGGAAGCACGTGTACTAACCGGGTTTAAATCTTGACTGATGTGGGTTGAGACGAGGAGGCCTCACTGGTTGGGGTCCATTTTGTATATAACTTTTATGAGAAAAAATGGTAATTATTTCACGCATCAACCTTTGGCACTTACAAAGTTTTTTTGTTTATTTTAAATAACAGGGCAGGGCCCTGCTTTGGGGAGGGGTACGGGAGAGTATCATGGGAGATGGCATCCATGATAACATCTTATTCTAATGAAATGTAGATTTTTATTTTCTACTTTTGATTATTAACATCTTATGAAAAAAATATTTTAAAAAACCCAACCAAAACCAACATGAGCCCTGCCTGCTAGGACGCCTTTCCAGCCAGTGTCTCTGACGTCGGGGTTAGTGCCTTAGAGGGTACTGGGGTCTGGTCTTCCTGCTCCATGGTTCGGGCTGCAGTGAGCCTCACTCAACCTGGGCACCTGCCCTCAGGAGCTTGGGCCACGAGGCTCTGCAGGAGGGCTGGTGGCTGGGAGGTTGCATCTGCACGCTTCTGGAAGCGAGCCTTTGAGTACGGGCTATCCAAAGTTTACATTTTCATTTTCCTTTCAGGGATTTGTGGGGTCAGGGAGGGGCAGGGGGCACCTGGCAGCATATTTTCTGTGACAATGTGTTCAGCAAATCATTCTTCAATTACATTTTAGAAAGGAGGAAATCTAAAATAAGGTAAGGGAGGGAAACATGGAGTTGTCAGTTTTCTGGTCTGCAACTGAAAGACACACTGAGCTGTGATGAAGAAAAATACACGGGTGACTGCAGAGTGGTGACATTTAGAGCTAGTCTTGAAACCCACCTACAGAGGGGAGGGCAGCCAATAGCCCTCCTCCCACCTGAGTGGGCAGCGCCCCTAACTGGAGTCGGAAACACAGAAAATTTGCCAGGCCATACTGTTGGAGCCCATTCAGATAAAACTGCCCAATGCTGGGAGGAGTTTTCCACACCCAGCTGGAGGAGCACACTCCATTTTTCCACGTCTGACTTCCTGGTGTGAGCCCTGGGCCTTACTTACCATGGTGCGGGACAGCTGTCCCTCAGAAAACGGGCAGTCCATCCACTCGGACCATCTCCTTCGCAGGAACTCCACACCCTCGTCCCTCTGCATTCCCAGCTTCCGCAGGAGCCTGGGTGAGGACGGTCCAGGTCTCAATTCCCAAGGCTCCTGGGAGAGCCTGAGGACACTGGGAGAGGCTAGGCCTGGGGAGGAGGCGGCCCTGGGCCCGCTGCCCATGCCTCTGGCCCTGGGTGGAGAAGGAATAGTTCCACTGTATTGTCACAGTGTGTTTGCACTTTCCAAGGTTCTAGCTAGTACAGATTGTATATTGATAGTACATATTGCTTTGCTTATGTCTTTGAGATGAGAAAGGCTTAAAACTTGAGAATATATATTTGGAATACAGCCTTAGAATGGTTTCTGTACACATCCACGTGCACTTCACAGATGATCAGTTCTAGTACCTACTTGAAACAGCGTCTATGTCTGCCACTTTATTTTTCCAATTTGATAACATATCCTGATTTGATGTTTTGGTATTTGAAATGAACTCTGGAGTATGAAGCTGTACCATAATGTAGGATGTCAGTTTTGGTGTGACTGGACATACTTGCTTCAATAAAAGAACATGTCACTCCCCTCCCTTGCCTGGTGTGTGTGCGGCCCTGCTGCTGGCAGGAGACGTGGGATCCCTAGGGCAGAGAGAAGGACAAGGCTGCCAGGCCTGCTACAGCCTTCCCAGGAGGGACTGGGCAAGGGCCTTTTGTCTCCAGTTGAGAATACTTTCTGACAAAGGGCTTTCCACTGAATAAGGCAAGACTCGAAAAAAGCTATAGGAGACACGTTTAGTCCTACTTTCCTCAATGTGAACTCCAAAAAGATGTCACTGGTTGCTGTATTGCATGGTCACATGAGTTTGGGATACCTAGTTAAGCCAGGCTGTATGGGCTGTGTTACTGTGGGAGGAGTCAGATGGCCTCTGAGAGGCAGGGGAGGTTGAGAAGTCCCTGGACGCGATCCTGCAGGGCAGCCTGCAGAACACAGGTCTGGAGGGGCCACTTCTGGTGTCACTGAGTTACACTCAAGTGCACCAGAGAAGAGGGGCACTGGGGGGCACACAGGAGCTCAGGAATTGAAGGAAAAGAACTAAGGCTCCAGGACGGAATGTGGTACTCCCCCTCTCTGCTTCTCCAACCTGCCCATTCCCTTGGTTCTCAGGCCCAGGCTGGGTGGGGACTGCACCCCAGGGCTAACTCAGCTCATTTTTCACAATATATTCAGTGTCATCATTCCCATGAGGTGAGCGCCACCCAAGAGAAACCTTTCTGGGGTGAAGAAATGTCCTGTATCTGTGCTGTCCAGTACAGCAGCCACCAACCACATGTGGGTCCTATGCACTGGGATGTGGCCAGTGTGACCGAGGGGCTGGATTTGGAATGTGAATTTGGACAGCCAGGGGGCCCTGTGTTGGACAGAAGCTGGGCTCCAGGGCTTTGCCACCCCATGCAGTGGGGAGTGCAGGACAGGTGCTCAGTGTCTGTGCAGCAAATGGGGACATGGAGATGACACTTGAGCTTTGACATTTTTTACATCTTTAAATCAAATGGCATCCCTAATTTCCTGATGGAGGTCATTTTTGGAAGTGTTCACCTGCTTCAGCTGAAGAAAGGGGAGCACATAATTTGCTCTGGCCTTGGATACAACCTGGAGCTGGGTGGGCCATCCTCCACCATGGGCAGTTCCTCCAGGGCGGTGGCTCTCAAGTGTGGGTCCCTGGGAACCTGCCTGAATGGTTATTCTTAGGCCCCACCACACACCTGCTGAATTGGGAACATGGCGGGGGCCTAGTCCACGCCCTGAGCTGCACAGCATGTGTGGGATGCACTCGGCGGGTGACTGTCTGTGTGCCTTGTGACCAGCACATCCCTGTGTGATAGCTGAATGTCACCCCTCAAACACGTTTCAGGAACAAATGGATGTCAGTGTGGCAGAATGATAATCTAAGGATCTGTACTAAATCATGGAGACTTATGTAACACATATTGCTTGTGACACACAACTATCATGCCCGTATGAGAACACAGGCCCTGCTCCTCAGGGAGGCTCAAGGCAGCAGGGCGGGAGCAAGGAGCTGGGGCACCTGGAATGAGTGCTGGTCTCCAGCCCCCAGCTAGAGAAGCTTGGACAAGCTGTTTACCTTACTACAGCCTCCATGTTCTCATCTGATCGGGCCTCCCTCGCAGGGCTGTGGTAGCAGACAGAGCAGATGCCTGGTTCATTGTCAGCACAGTTGGTGCTCGCTGTGGACTGGCCCTGGTGCTGGGGATGCCAAACAGCACTTCTGCAAAAGGTCATAGCACCTTTGGGAAAAGTGAAGCAAAGGCTTCTAAGTCCCCTTCTCAAAGGAACACCTGAGGTCCTCGTCAATACGAAGCATATTAGCATTCACCACAGTCACTGTTCAATCCAACCGACACAAAAATATAAATGGGAAAGAATTCCCACGAATTTGGATTCAGAACTTCTACAGGGAAAACTTACAACCTATCTGCAGGCCAGTTTAGATCAACTGAACATGTTAACACAATTTCAATCTTTATTCCCAAGAAGGAAGCCAGGATACTGTGAGGAAGGTGAGGGGCTGCCGAATACCCGGCAAGCATCTACCCCACAGCACCAGGATGCTCAGGTGCAGACGCTCAGCTGCAGCTGTGCAGTGGCAGTGCCAAATGCTTCAGGAACATTGCAGGGAAGAGTGTAAGAAAGTAAACTGTGCACCTGTCCATTTCTGGCAGTGTGAGAGATTAAGTGTGTGCCCACTGAAAAAAACAGATAAAGTTGTACAAAATTTAAAATTCCAAGTAAAGGCAGGGAGCCAGAGAAGTCAGGGAAGCTCTGGAGCCTGCTTTGCCCTGAGGGCAAGGACAATGAGCTTCTGTTTTCAAGTTCTGAGAGGTAGAGAAAAACGTACAGGGCCTGCCTGAAGATGAAGAATCAAATAGGAGATCCCAGCCCATAAAGCTGGCATCCCAAAGAGACACCTCTCAGTGCAGCAAGAGCTTGAAATAAGGTGCTCCACCCAAACCCCACAGAGGGAGCTAAGGAAAGCTGCCTGATTTGAACCTCAGCACTGAATGAAGGCAGGGAAATTTTACCCTGGTAATTGTTAACAATGAGTCAGTGAGCTTCACAAAATTTTGTAGCACAAATCAACACAGGTCCAACACAAACTTTAGGCTGAGAATTCTCTGAACTGGCCCTGAACTGGTACTGCCCCTAAGCATCCAATAGAAACAAACGTTCTGACCTATATTCCAGTTTTAAAAAAAAAATCTCTCAACTGTGTCTAATTTTGTTCAACCCATCTGTTGGATTTTAAAAATTCAATTATTGTAGTTTTCATTTCTAGATGCTCTATTTGGTTCTTTTCCAAATCTGATCATAAGTCTGAAGAAATTACCAGAATCTAACACAAAGAGAATAAAGCACTGGAAAACAAGAAACAGGTTGAGACATGGAGGATACAACGGTTTTAACATGTTATCAGAGTTAGAGAAGCAAAGAGAGAATGAGGCAGAAATCATTTTTAAAAATCCAACAGCTGAGAATTTTTCAGAGTAATAATCCAAGAAGTCCTAAGAATCTCAAGCAGGACCAGAAAAAAACAAACCCACAAAAAGATGTATCATAGTGACAAACAACAGAGAAGGAGAGAATAGACTGCTTTCAAAGAATGACGGCTGTTAATGCTGATCATTCACAGCAGATATAACTGAAGCCAGGAGACAGTGGAATAGTCACTTCAATGTGCTAAANAAAAAAAAAAAAAAAAAAAAAAGAATAATGGCCAATTTAGAATTTTCTACTTTTTAGAACTATTTATTAAATGAGAGATAATAAAGATGTTTATAGACAAACTAAATGGAGTTTGCTATCCACAGACCTTCCCTAAAAGAAAGCCTAAAGGATGGATCTTGACTCTTACTGAAACCCATGTACAGAGCGATTTCCAGATGCACCACAAACCTAAATATGAAAGGCAATGCAATGAAGTGTCCAAAAAAGAATTTAAAAAATCCTGGAGTAGGAAACGTTTCTTAAATTGGACACCAAAATCACTAGTCACAAAAGAAAACTGGTTTTTATTGAAATTAAGAATTTCTGTTTACTGACAGATACCATTAACACAGTGAAAGAGAACTGTTGCTAGGAGAAGGAATGTGTAATATGTAAATCTGACAAACGACTCAACTTCAGAATACAGAAGTAACTCCCACAAATCAACTTAAAAAAAAAAATCAAACTAATTTTTTTTAAAAGGAAGCAGAAAAACTTCAACAGGCATTTCACAAAAGAAGATAACCAAATGGCCAATAAGCATATGAGAAGGTACTTGGATATCATTCCGATTATAAACTAAGATGAAAATAAGAACTGTACATCCCCATTAGAAATTACAATTAAAAAGTTTAAATTCAAAACACTGGAAATACTGTGTTGGGGAGGATGTAAAGCAACTGCTCTCTCAAACATGGCTGGTAAGGTTAACCTTACCTGTCTGCTCCTGGCGAAGCTGATCAAGAAAAAATGGAAAGCATAAATAATATCAGGAATGAGAAAAAAGGATATTACTATAAATCTTATATGTATCACACAGAAAATAGGATATTGATTTCATCTGAACTTTCAAATTTATCAGTATAAATTTCTAGAAAAGTACAGTTTACCCAAAATAACTCAATGAAAGCTTACTCTAGAAAAAATAGAAAGTCTGAATAGTTCTATAATTATTAAATAAATTGAACTGATCAAAAATCTTCCCAGATAGAAAAGTTCATGCCCAAGTGGCTTTCAGGCAGTTCTTCCAGGCAGTTCCAAATATTCTAGGAAGAAATTAATTCCAGTTTTACAAAAATTTTCTAGAAACAGAGTAAGAAGGAACACCTATAACTTAGTTTATAAGCTAGTATAAGCTCAACAGAAAAGCCCAATGAAGGCCAGCAATGGTGGCTCACGCCTGTAATCTCTGCACTTTCAGAGGCTAAGGCAGGAAGATCACTGAAGACCAGCCTGGACAACAAACCAAAACCCTGTATCTACACACACACAAAAGCAACAACAAAAAAAATGAGTTAGGTGCAGTGGGGTCTGCCTGTGGTCCCAGCTACTTGGGAGGCTGAGGTGGGAGGATCACTTAAGCCCGGGAGGTTGAGGCTGTAGTGAGAGCCATGACTACCCCACTGCACTCCAGCCTTTGAGACAGAGCAAGATCCTGTCAATTAAAACAACAAACAAACAAACAAAAATGCCCAACAAGGAAGAGAAAGGAAGTTATAGGCAATCTCATTCATGAACACAGATTAAAAACACCTGAAGTATATACATAACCACACCCCCAACACGAATACGTATGAGATATGTAAATGTGAATACCTGTGTGTATATGTATGCAAACCAAATCCACCAATATAAAATAAAAATAACACATGACTGACTGGAATTTGTCCCATAATGCAACGGCACTTGAGAAAATCTATTACCTCAATTCATCTCATTCACTTCTGGTGGGAATGCAAAATGGTACAGTCACACTGGAAGATAGTTTGGCAGCTTCCTACAAAGCTAAGCTAAACATTCTCCTA